AGTGCTAAAAAAAACCTATAAAGTGAGCGAACTAACTTGAATCCTGCCTTAACTTATTATTAAAAAAAAAAATCCTAATGAGAAGCATCATGATCGGTCCGTATTAGTTAGTTGTTTAGTTGTCTGATAATAAGTAGGTGTTGAATTATTGAGCGACATACGAGGTGTAACTTTGAAAAACCAAAACATTTATTTTTTTATAAATGACATTATTAAAATAAAATTTGAGATGGGAAAAAAGGGGACAATTATGTTGAGATTATAAACTTATAAAGAGATGCATAGCCTCATATATCAATTATTTTTTAAGAAAAAAATTATACTTTCAATATGCTGGAATATAGTAAAAAAATCGATTTTAGCCCCATTATCCTATACCTTTATGCACATGTTTTTTTTTTCCCCCTCCCCAATGCCCCATGTCCTGCTGCAAAGAATGATAAACTTCTATTTTCTTGGGTTTGACGTCTAAAATAGTTTTGCATTTCTGCTTTATATTTCGTTGGTAATTCTTTATTTATTTAAAATGTCGTCAATTTTTGTTATATCTATTCCAAAAAGTGATTTAAAGCATTTTTATTTTTATCATTCTGAAAAATAATTCAAGGTCTCTTCATTTTTAAAATTATTAAAAAGGGGGCAAGTATTTATATATTTCTTTAAATTATTCTACAAATAATTCAAGATCTCCTTATTTTTCAAAGCAGGCTTTTTTTTCCCTAAAAAAAAAAACTTTAAGTTTTAAAACCATTCATCTGTGCGGCTATACATACATCTATGCATGTGCCCCCGAACCTTCTATATGTGTGTGTACATACATATATACCCAAGACATCCAATCAGCTATTTCATCTCCATTTAATAACCATTATGTTACAACTTATGTCTAACTATGTAATATATTTACATAATTAAGAAATTGGAAAACACAAAGTAATAATTTGTACCATGTTATTTTCGATTTACATGCAAACTGTATGCCCTGATTTGTGGTGGCAAATTTTTTACTTAACAAATATGCAATAAAATTAGAGAATATCTATTTCGATTTTTTTAAAAAGTATGCACAAAGAAGATTGATAAGATTTTTCAGATTATTTACATTGAATTCTCTTTTTATTTGAATTAAAATAAAAGAGATTGTTGCGATTTTATAATGAAAGTAATAAAAAATACAGAAAGAATATGTTTTTTGATGACATTCTTAAATTTGAATTTTTAATTTTAAATAAAGAGAAGACTGTTGAGATGTGCATAAAGATGATATATAAATATTACAATTTAATAATTACATTTTAATTTAGAATTTAAACATGCCTTCAAGGTCTCAAGGCTAGAAAGTGGTTTTCAACATCTCTAATTAATAAATGAAATTTATTAAAGGAATTGCAGATATGACAAAATCTGTTTAAAAAAAAAACGAATCTGTTCTTTAAAAAAAATGAGGGGACAACAAATGATAACATTTGCATATAAACAATCTCTTTATATTGTAAACCTCAATAATTTCTTCATTTAAAATTAAAATTAAAATTTAAGAACCTTATTCAAAGTCTAAACTCATCTTCTTTCTATATTTACATTGAATTCATACTTTGCATAGAAATATCAACAATCTCTTTATTTTAATTCAAAATAAAGAGAAAATTCAATGTAGATAATCTAAATTTTTTTAACAATCTTAATCATTTTATCTGTGCATTTATTTTATATTAAAAATTCTAATAAAGAGATCAACATGAAGATGTTGGAATGAAGTTAAAAATATTCTTCATTACTTTAAAGATACCATGGAGGTAATATTATTTTATCTAAAATTATCCAAGACTAATCCTAATGGCTATATAGATAAAGTATTCTTGTTTGATCCTCATGTCAAGAGATCATAGTATGATCCATGTGTGGATAAACCATAAAAGGACTATACGTCTTATGATTTTCAAAAGATCATGAAATTCATATTTGACGTTTTTATCTCATTACAATATTTGGAAAGATTGTTCGTTATATTAGACTTTGCAGGCTCGAAGATGTCAACTGATATTGCCAAAAGGGGGAGTTGATACACGCTGTACTCTTTTTTCCTTATCTATGTTTTTGTCCCACTAAGTTTTCCTAACAAGGTTTTTAATGAGACAGCATTACATAGTGTATCAATAAATGATGCACTCTTTTTTTTCGCTAGGTTTTTGTCCGACAGGTTTTTCCTAGTTGAAGTTTTTTAACGAGGCATATTCATATATATTAGACATCTAAGGGGGAGTGTTACGGATATAATAATATCTTTGTGGATGTCCATGTATCTTCCATTATCTCCTATATCTCCTATAATCTCTAATATCTCATATTATTTCTGTATCCCACAATTATCTCATATTATTATGTAATCTGTAGATTCTATCAAAGGTGTAAAGTTGTGCCTATAAATAGAGGCCATTTATAATGTATTGGCACTCTTAAATGGAATGAGAAATACTTTCTCTTGTTGATCCTCTCTTCTTCTGTATAATTCTTCTTTATATTTCTTCTTTATTTATAACAAGATCATTAATATATAAATAAAGAGATTATATATAAACCAATTGGAGTTAGATCTAAGGGGTATTTGCACAACCCCAAAAGTGTTTTTTAAAATATTTTTTTACAAATTAAGGTAAATTCCTTTATATATTTACTTTGTATACTATAAAAGTACTTTTAAAACTATAATTTTGTTTCTACCTAAACACCCTCCTAATAAAAGAGGCTTAGTCTCCACTATATGGTAAAAATATTTTAATTAGTTAAATTCATATCTATTAAAATGTAATAGCCAACGTTTTTGGAAAAAAATAAAAGACATGATTTTGACCAAAATTAAGAAATTAAATTATGTGAATACAGAAAAAAACAAATGTAATAATTCATTAAAAAAAATAAATGCAATAACTAGAGCAAAAATGAATTATTATTTATTAAGTAATTTCTTTCTCCAAAGCATTTTTGTTTTCCTCCAAAACCCTTAACATTTTCCCCACTTATTCCGTTGTTAAACGCCTGAGACTTATCAGGAGAGAAACTTCTTTTGATTTTCCACCATTATCTTTCAATCAGATAAAATCCAGCTTAATGGACACAAAATAATAAATGGATTGAAATAGAACCTTTTTATGATTTTCAAGAAAATGATAACGAAAACAAATAATTGAGTACATAGAAAAATTTTAGTCCAAAAAAGTATAAAGAAGAATTAATAATAAAACCACCAAATTCTTCTCAACAAATAGTACAAAAGATGCAAAAGGATCAAAATAGGAACAAAATGGTAACATAAATATAGCAAACATTAGAATCAAAACTAAAAGGCATCAAAACAAAACAAGAACCTCTCTCATGTCAACCATAAAACTCAAATATTGAAACTCAAAAAAGCCGGGAATGATAAAAGTCTTAAATACCGCCTCATATCCAACAACTCATTTCTGCAAGAGGTTTTATGGATTTAAATTTGGCCAAATCATGGGGCTGAACAACATATTTGAATCCTTTGTGTTTATTTTTTAGTACTTGCACATTATTCATTATTCATTAATTTATCATCTTGGCTTTGCTTCTATAACTTTTGCTTTGTTGAATTGGCCATAGAACTATTCGGAATTCCAATCATCATTGATGTTATGATATGATTTTTCTTTTTTATTCTTCAAAAATAATTTCAGAATCAACACTGAAAAAAATCAAAATAATTACAAATTTATTATGAAAAGAAAAGGTTAAAAAAATTTGAGAAGAAACTCCAACCAAAAGTACAAATACTCAATAATTTGAATTTATAAAATTCATGAATGAGACAATATTGATTACGTATAGAAGCTTCTCAAAGACCAAAAGAGAGAGAGAGAGAGAAGAGCTCTAATGAAAATGCAATTATTACAATTTCATTTTTAGGATGAAAACATGAACTCCAAGAATATTGATGAACAGTGTTGTTCTTCAACCTCTTTAGTCCAGCCATTGAGTTTCATGCCGTTATGTTTTCATGCCCAACAGGACTGTAAACCGCTTTCATGAGTCTTGGCTGCTGGTAGAGGCCTGATAAAGATTATTGGAGATTGAAACAAATCTTTTATAATCCCAAAGAAGACTGAAACAATCAATAAAGAAACACAATTAAAGGTAGTAATCTAAGAACAATCACACCTGCACAAAAGATGATATCAAAAGTAGCAAAGACAAATGTTATTCTAAAACACGATTGAAAAAGTTGGTCAAGGATGGTGGCACAGAAGAAGAAGGCATGCCAAGTCTTGGATCATAGATATGACATAATACCATGATGGAAGCAAGAGACAGAAGAATCAAGCAGAGGAACAAACGAAGAGATGGGCTCAAGGGTTAGGTGGAAACAATGGTAACATTGCACAAATGCCCCATAACAACCCTATATCTATAGGATCACCCAAAAAAGACCCCAATCCCCCAAATATAGGGAAACGGAAAGACAAATAATAAACAAAGATAAAATTATCAATGTAGATGCATGCACCAAGAATAAAAAAAAGGCTCACACATCAACACCCAACAACCAATGAGATGCAAAAGAAACTATCACCCAAGACCGCCATGTGAGCCAATCACAAAGTTGCTACAAGGTTTATAGGATATACGGATAAGAGTAAAGAAAAAAGGGGAGGAAAAATTTTGGCTTTCCTCCCTTCAAAATTTTCAATCAAAAGGAAAGATTCATTTTCCTTTCTCTCTCCTTCCTTTCCTTCCAACCAAATAGCTTGAAGGAGTTTATCATTTTACCTTAAAGTTTTTTTTTTGACAAAATTTTATAAAAAATGTTGGGCTCACCATGATCCAAAGGTATGGCATGGCAACTAAACTTTATCTTGGAGTTTCTGAATCCCCTGGGACTTATGTGGGATAAAGTGTCTCTCTTTGGGATTAATTGTTATTTTCCCTATTTTTTTATTTTATTGTTATCGTTAGGTTTTAGTTGCTCAAGCTTGGCAAGTCGGCATACTTCTCACGCTGCTGGTGCTCCGCTTTCAGTCACTCCGCTGGCCGTCCCACCTCGCCGTTGGTTCGCGTTCAATCTCAGTTACTCCGCCGTTCTCGCAGCCTCATCTGGCGCCGTTGTCACTCACCGTTCTAGCGTTGGCGCTTGAAGACCCTCAGCGTCAGCGTCTCGCCATCGCGTTCGAAGACCACTCACTCACTCTCGTCTCTCTGCATTTCATTTTTCCCTTTAGCTCCTAATTTGGTTAGATTCATTCTAGTTCCCTCCATTTAAGCGTATACCTTCATTCCATTGGTGTCTTCTTATTTGAACTTAGCCCTTTTCTCTGGATTTTCTTAATTAAGAAATGATAATGAGAGTGAGAGGATGAAATAATGGTGCGTGCTTTATGATATTCCGCTGATTGCGAATCGAATAGCAAATCAAAATATAGCACCGCTGTATTCTTTTCCTATCAGGAAACTTTAGGCATACTTGGTCATTGAATAAGTTATTAGTATCTATGTGTAGGAAAGAATGAGCAGATTTCATGTCATTTGAAATGAAAAAAGGAATTAGACAGCATTGGAGATTGAATAAGAGGCATTAATCAATAATTAAGGTAACGAAAGAACAAATTAATACGCCATGTTAAAGAATATGCTGCGATTGCACAAATGATAGATAATCCACTACAAGTAAAAGCAAAGTGAAGGGACTAAACTGAAGAAATGATGCGGCAGCAAATAAAACTAATTAAGGGTGACCCAAAATAGGAAACGACAGTGTTGCACCTAGAATACAAGTTGTGGGAGCTGAAAGTTTAAGAACACAGCCTAAGGCTATGCTCGAGTAGATCCTTGTTCATTTCTATTCACTTCAATCCGAATTTACTCTTTAATTCAATCAAATATTTTTGTAGGATACAGGGATTTAAACTGCCAAGATGGCTGCAAGTTTTGCATCTAAATGCTCTCGTGGTACGTGGTTTTGTATTTAAATCATTTGTTATGAGGATCTAGCTTTAAATTTACACGTCCTATTGGTTTTCTACATCTGCTCATCAGCCTGGCTTTGTAATAACACGTTCAAACTTTGGTTTTGACTATATTTATCTAGAGTTAAATGCATTGATGCATCATAATCCTTGCTGGACTAGCACGGCACTAAGCTTATTGCTGAGATGTTTACCTCCAACATGGTTCTACAATATACGGTCCTACTTGGGTGCTTAGATTTGGTGTTGGACATGGACATAATCGCTTGTTTGAACAATTGTGTACATGTTTGCTGGAATGTAGAGGACCCCGGGACAAGAGGGAGGTGTTTGGGGAGCGGGGGTTAGTTTTGAATTCAATTATTGAACTACATAACTAAGATTCTGCTATCTTCGCTCAAGAATGATTAGAAAAATAGCCACGCTAAATATTTTCTGAAAGTGATTCTTTGATTCTTTTCGGGCGCTTTAATTTTTGAACTTCTGGTTAGCTGTAAGGTTAAGCAGATTAGGATGCATTTCAGTTTATCATAGCAAAAACATATCTCTGGATTTAGAAATTTCACCTTGCGTAAGCCAATAGAAAATTTTTGGTGGGGGGGGGGGGAAGCTAGAAAATTCGAAGCAATACTAACCTTGTTTCAAAAGGTTGGCTACTTTTGACTTATGTGGTGATGATGGACAAATGGGTTGCTCAGTAGTCACTACTGAATAGATTATTGGTGATTTTGTCTCCTAATTATGTAGGCCTTCAACTAAACATATCAATATTCTTATTTTGTTAACCTCATTGAGCTCTTTAGCCAATGTTTATTTCATTCCTCACATGCAAACTTGTGTTATATCCTTGAATTCTTGTACTATATCCTTTATTTTCCCCACTAATGCAAACAATGAGTGACTTCAACTTTTGATGGTAAATTTTTAAAGTAGTTAACTTATTGCATTCTGTCTCCTATGTTGAAAATTGAACCAGTGGGACATTCTCTGCTTGGTGGGCTCGGCAATAGTTTATCTGGTTTAGTCACAACATCACAAGAGATCGTAAGCAGCAAATTCTTGTCTCAGGTTGGCGTGTAAGACGTCTACGTTAATTTGAGATGTTAATTTGGGATTGTTCAAACAAGTATAAAAATTTTGGTATCTTTTCCATCCTGATAATAATTATGTTTTTCTTTTCTTCTGCTTGTAAAATATGGTATAGACAGGTTTTATTTTGACGGCAGTTTGTTCTCATATTGTCATGCCTTGAATGGGAACCAAGGCATGCTTGTTTTAGAGTAGGATCCGTATTATTGTATTACTCAAACATCTTTGCCATCCTCTGTTGTGCTGTCTTTTTAACTAAAATTGTTATGCATTTTAGCAGCAGCAACAGTTGCGCTCTTTCATACAGATGAGGACTGTTCTCAAGGTTGTGGATAATTCTGGGGCTAAGAAGGTTATGTGCATACAACCTCTAAAAGGAGGAAAGGTGCAAGATTGGGTGACACCATAATTGCATCAGTAAAGGAAGCCCATCCTAATGGAAAAGTTAAGAAAGGAAAAGTTGTGTATGGCGTCGTCGTCCGCGCAGCAATGCAAAGGGGGCGATGTGATGGCAGTGAGGTCAAGTTTGATGATAATGCTGTGGTGCTTGTTGACAAGCAAGGGCAGCCGATTGGGACAAGAGTTTTTGGACCAGTCCCACATGAGCTGAGGATGAAGAAACATGTCAAAATACTCACTTTAGCGGGGCACATTGCTTAAGATATTAAGCATAATGACTCAAGGTGACCAATTTGCTGGTAATTTGTGTGGAGGGTTTATGCTGAGTCCAAGATATGATAGAATAGGCATATGTTTTGGGCTGCACAGTATGTGATCTGTGTTTATGATCCTCAGGGTTTTGAGTGACTTTTAAACTTCTTATTGAGGAATAAAAATAGCAATGGAGATTGGAAAGAGCTCGATACCTTGTCATTTTTTTATGAAGAAATTCCCCTGATGATTCTTCATCATTAGAGATCTTGAGCTTGGATGTTTCGTAAAACAAGCGTCCGCAGAACATATTTAGCTTTAAGATCCTCCCACAGAAATCGACCAGAGGAGTAGCCGGTTGCTAAAATTACAGAAATTTTCGTTTGAAATACTTTCTAAAAGCTCGCATATACAAGCCAATTTCGGATTTTTTTTTTGGCCAACAAACAACAGTACAAAAGGTTGAGAAAGAGACAACCAGAAACAAAATCAAGGACAAAACAAACAGTTCGCACAGTAAAACAAAAACATTAACCAACATCAAAATTAAGGAAGAAGTATCTTCATCTAAAAGCTTCCTTAAGCTTGTTCCAAGAGGTGGAGGTTAATGAAAGAGGATAGGAAGTTTAGGCGCTTTGTTTTTGTTGTGTTTTGAAGTTTAGTCACAATTTCTTATTTCAAAAGAAAAAAGCT